AAATATATTTTTTCATCTCCTTGATCTTTCATTTACATAAAAAAAAATTATTGGCATAAACGTTGCAGGTGAATGTCATTGCAACGTGAATGTTCCGATCCTAATGCGAATGCTGCGGGATCAATATATGGATCAATCGTAAAAATTGACGCCTCAACATGGCTTAAAAAACCAGATTTGAGAGAACAGGAAGATATTCCAAATATTAAAAAGGGACTCTTGATGGTCATTCGCCTTGACCCTGGTACATCTCCAGGCATAACTTTTGAGATAAGTTTATGTCTGGAGTACCAGTGTCAAGGCGAATGGCCATCCAGAGTCCCTTTTCAATATTTGGTCGGAATATTACCGCAACAAAGGACAATTCAGGCATTGACCCAAAACTCTCAAGCTCCCCAAAAGCTTGATAAACGACCAATTTCAAATTTAATGTCTTCTCTCCGAAAGATAGCCCAGTTTCTCCGCACGAGCCCCACTCGTGCGGGGGGTGCAGTTTGGAATATAAAAATTCCTGTGATCAGGTGGACTCGAACTCGGTTCCTCGGGATTACGAGTCTGGCGCTTTACCACAAGACCACACTGCCACCCAATTTACTACATACAAATACAACTATATACAGGCAGCTCGGCCTGATAACAAGGTCAGATAACGACCATTAGGAAGAATATAACGAAACTTTTGTATCCATGTAATGTGCAAAATCTACAAAATACAATTTTATATCCGCGTACTCCGCGTCCGTGCGCTTCCTCGTTCGCGGCACATTCTCATTCTTATATCTTTTTATTTTTGTTCCTGAAACGCAAGCGTGTGCATTCTCGAGCCTCTTCCTGGATCGCGCTCTCTCGCGCTCGGTTCTCGGAGGGAGAAAGCAGGAAAACAAATAAGTACGTGGCGCGTGAAAGCGGCGGGCGGCGGTACGAGTGCGAGCTCGCCGGTGCGCACTCAGCGCACTGCGCGTGGCAGTTGCGCGAGCGCGCATGCGCTACCACGTACCACTGTTGTGACTTGACACCTCGCCAACGAGACCGATCGACGCGACGCACATTGTGTGTACTCCAGTAACTCCAGTTGCGCCGTTCTCCAGCCAACTTCAGTGCCTTCCGAGCAGCTTGTTATCTCTCTTTCTCTTTCTTTCTCTCTCGCGCGCTCTTTCTCTCTCTCTCTCTCTCTCTCTCTCTGTCACTTGGTGCGTGCGCGCGCGTTTGTGTGCGCGTGTGTGTGTGTGTGTGTGCGTTGCTCTGTCGTTGATCGCGTTTACGTTTGCACCAGTTTTCGCCGCGAAATGTCGTCCGGCAGCTGGGAGCTGGTCAGCAGGAAGAAGGACAGGAGCAACGACAAGTCGACCAAGCTGACGAAGGCCGAGAAGAAGAAGTTCATCGAGAACGCGCCGAAGGTCGAGGACTTCTGTGAGTCGCCTGTCATAACCTGGCCCGCTTTCTACTCCTCCGGGCGAGTAGCCTTCCTAGCTTCCGCTCCAATTCTCCGAAACTTCGTCGATTCGTCAGCGACGTATCGCCGGGAGAACGATGTGACCCCGAGTGATCGTCCGACCTGTCTGAAATCGCGCGTGAAACGCGTGAAGAGAGGGTTGCAATATGGTACTGGAGTGTGTGCACTTTGCGACCCTCGTTCTGCAATCAATTCTTTTTTTGATACAGGCTGCGGTCCATTTCATGCTACAAATGCTTTGAAACGTTCTTCCTCGTCTTCTTTCTTCACTGAAAGAAAGAAGAAGAGGTATGCTTCGAAACATTTGTAGTGTTAAACAGACTGCAGCTATATACAGATATGGGAATACTTATAGTCTGCAATAAATCATCCCTCTAGAGTTATCTTGCAAGCCTAAAGGATAATTTATCTCAACTTGGAGCTGTCTTGCAAATAGGCAGCTCCTTACTTATTTATACTTAATTTTTTACTTAACTTTTTACTCCTGCGTCAAGAAAGTTATACGTCTGACCTAATATGTATGTGATTTTAGTGCCGTTAAGTCAAGTAAAGACCCTGTACGACAACCTGGATGGAAACAAGGAGAATAAGAAGCCTGCCAAGACGCAGGGAAAAGAGCATAAGACAAAGGAGAATGAGGAGAGGAAAAAGCAACAGCAGAAGCAGCAGCAGCATGTTGAGAAGAAGAAACAAGAGCAACCACCAAAAGAGAAACCTCCAAAAACCATTAAGGATGCCCTGAACGCGGTAAGACTCTCTAGCTTTAGAGTTTGACGGGAGATATTTGCTGTTAATCTCTTTTTATATGGATATTTTTATTTTTATCTATATCTATTCATTAGAGATAAAGAACCATATGTCCAGTTTTAGTCAAAATGGAGTTAATGCATTATATATTTTACAATATATCAAGAGTTTGAATTGTATAATAGTATAAATGTCTATTATGTTTATTATTACTAGTTCCTAAGATATAACGTTTAGAAAAAGTCTTATTGAAAATGTTCATAGTGCCTTAATTTGGTCAAATGTAGCTGTTATTAGCAGTTGTACTGTTAAACATGTCAGTTAAATTACTTTATTAAGAACTCAATAAATCAAGTTGCTACTTTTATTTTATAACTAAAAAAATATACTAATATTTCCTTATTTAAAACTTTAAACTTTGTTCTCTCTAAATTCATAATAATGGAGATATGATTCTTTATTTCTAAAGTGCAGATACATATATCGTATGCATATTTAAGAAAAATATAAATTAATTCCGTTTTATTTCAAATTGCTATGGTTTCATGGAAACATGGAGTTAATTCGGCATATTATTAATTAATTCTTTAACAACGCACGCAGATTAATCCGGAGGAGCTCGATGAACTTCTGGCCACTGCGCAAGTAAGATTTCCCGAGGCTCCCTTACTCTGGCTGAAGGAGCTCGATGCCTTCCTCAACATTAAAATACCCATCATCAAGGAAGATACGATACTCTCAGGAAAATACAAGGATTACCCGTTAAGTTTAGTACCTAAGGCGATCTCTTCCATATTGGAGCGAGCGGTGGAGATGACCGGCCAGCAGACCATACAAATTTTTTACGAGAACACTCTCACGGCGATGGCCACCGACATGGTCAAGGGACTCCCCGTCGTCGGTCACAAGATATTTTTACAGCTGCTAGCGCATTTAAATCCCGAGATGACCGCCGCCAACATTCCCAAACTGATCAACATAAGGAACTCTTATGAGAACAGAAAAAACGTTGGACTGTCCTTGTTGTGGGCTTGGTCGCAGGCCGGCCAGAAGAATCTTGCGGTCGGCTTGAAGATTTGGCACGAGGTAATGTCACCGATGCTGGAGACGAAGGGCTACGCCAACTACGTCGTGGAAATCCTCAGCGATCTCGTCTTCTGGCACGGCCATGACAACGTCCACGATCTCAGTCTGGATCTGTACCTGAGCATCATCACGGATATCTATTCTCAAAGGTTCCAAAACATTGTATCCACGAATTTCGCCCTTGGAGCGAGTATTGACAAGTTGAGAGTAAGTAACGCAAGCGTGAGTTTTAAGACGGCGTCGTATTTTAATTAATCGTAAAAACGATATGTAACACGCATGTTCAACTTGGCGATACACCTCGGTACGCGTCAGCGAGATCAATAACGTCGATATGTCTTTTGCAGTCGATACTGTTCAGGAACAAGGACATATGCTACACGAAATTGTTTGAAATGTTAATGGGGAAAGTGTCGCAGAAATCGGATCCGAACTACAGGCACGAGTTGATTGAGGCTCTCACGGACTGTCTTGTCACGGAACCTCTTTGCTTCACTATTTGGAGTTCCATTTACACCAAGCATTTATACCCGTCCAGTCTTCTTCTATCAGATATTAGTAAGCACTCGCGCTTTTCTCACGTGCTAAAATAGATATATTCATGCAAAATAAAAAAAATATAAAAATTTGTGTTTTTACAGGTTGTAATTTTGAAGCTAGGTTAAAAACGCAGTTCAAAACTAAGCATTTCAAAGAAACCCTCGCAACTATCCAAAACAATAGTGAAAAGTGGAAAAAGGCCAAAGACGAAAACCTGGCGCTCACATGCAAGAAAACGTCTCAGGTGAGTTTTCTCTTACACATTTTTATAATGAAATTTTATCAGGATGTGTGAAGTAAAGGAAGGAAAACAAGAAAATAAAATTCGTGTTGCAGAGTACAGTATAAATAAATTTATATTTAAAATTTTTAATTATATTGAAGGATGCGGTCGTATTAAATAACGCACATATTTATGACAATTGCGGTTACATAAAACATATTATCATCGTAAATAATTATCACCTGATAATATATCGAAACGTATCGTCTGATAACATATCACGTTTACGTTTCGCTTTCATTTCAATATACTTAAATATCTCTTATAACACGCTTATCTCTTACAGAGAGTAAAAAGACCGACATACTTTTAAGCAATAACCATGTGCTATATCGGTGTTATTCACCGAGAGAAATTTATTTGCCCATCGTCGCCTGAGATGTTGAAACTTGATTACCGTTTTACCAAACGGGTGAATTCGATAGGAAATATTTCTTCCATTATCTTATATAATAAGAATCATGCAGAGAAAAAAATTTATTTCATTAAGAATCGCATGTATCTCGTTTACAAAGGCTTACAGACCTAAACGGTAAATGTCAGAGATGACACAGGCGAGAAAAAATTACTATACAATTATTGGGTCCAACTGATCGTTAGATCCAGTTGCGTCGTAAAATTCGAAGCGCGACATTCCTCTCTAACAATGCGACTCCGCCCATGACAATGATCGCGTGCGCAACGAGGTAACAAACATAACTTGCACGTATCGCATTTAATGTGACATATCATATGTGTTCCCGCGATGCCCGAGGCAACACTTTCGTGAGCTCGTGAATGGAAAATTTATCCGCTCCGGCGCGCGAACGTGCAGTCATGGGTAATTAAACTTAGAAAGCATTTCTTTCGGTGAATTCCTAGACCTTCGCCGATCACGCGAGTCTCGGGAATCTCGCGCTTCCTATCCCGCAACTTTCGATTTTATTGCCACAATTGTGTATTATGAAGATAGATATATATCTGTATCTTAGAGGTAAAGGATCGTATGTA